TTGAAAACATAAGTGAGAAAAATAATCAAAGTGGAACTGAGAAATAAATTTTAGTTAAGAAATAAGTCTAATATACTTAATCATAATATTTAATCACGTGCATTGCACGTACATAAATCCTATAGACCGACGACTCAAATATTACCCTTAGATTTTTTGTGGTTTAGGATAGATTATAATTTAAATTAAATATTTAAAATAATACATAGTAATTTTGACTATTGAAAGCTTTTCCCGAACTTGTGCTTTTAAAGTGGGTATGATTTTTATTTTCCTTATTTTTTTATAATTTTGAGTTATAACATACTCCCTTAAAAAGTACGAGTTCGGAAAAATATTTTTGTAACTAATATTACCCTTAGATTTTTTAAATATTATATTATTATCCTAATCTATTGTAATTATCTTATCTTCTTTGAATTGGTAATAAAATGATTTATTCTATTCATAATGAGACTTAACATGTTATTGGATAAAATAGATACGTTTCATATAATTCAAATCATTTACTTATTTTAGTTCGTAGAAAAATCTAAAAGACATATGCTAGCCAGCACCTAAAAGTTATTGGACTTTGTAAAAAATATTCTTCAAATTTTTTAAATTACAAAAATGCCCCTACAAATTCAAAATTTTATTAAATCATCTTAAAAATTATAATTTTTACTTGTCTTAATTCAGCGAGAAATCTAAAAAATATATGCTAACCAGAAAATAAAAGTTTTTTACTTTGGAGAAAATATTTTGTAAATTTTAAAAATTACAAAAATACACCTAAAATTTTAAATTTTATAAAAAACACCTTGAAAATATCAAACTTATAAACATATTAAAAACCTACAAATAACACAAACAACCCTAAAAATTTATAGAATTTATAATACACACTCTGAACTTTTTACAATTACAAAATAAAACCCTTAAAATTATAAAATTTATAAAATCATGATAATTTCTGACCTAACAACACATTAAAAATATAGGAATTATAAATATTTTCTACATAATTTATAATTTATAAAAACAACCTTAAAGTTTTAAAAATTACAAACAAATGTTTAAAATTTAAAATTTACAAAAAACACACTGAAAATTTTCAAATTCATTAGTAAATTAAAAGCATAGGAAGTATTAATAGTCTATAAAGAATTTACAATCTGTAAAAAATACCTATAAGTTAAAAAAATTACAAAAGTCCTTAAAATTCATAATTTTCAAAAAAAAAAAAAACTCCATAGAATTTCTAACAAGTTTAGGACAAAAAGTACGAGTTCGGAAAAATCTTTTTAAAACTAATATTACCCTTAGATTTTTTTAAAGATTATATTATTATCCTAAACTATTATAATTATCTTATCTTCTTTGAATTGGTAATAAAATGATTTATTCTATTCATAATGAGACTTAACATGTTATTGGATAAAATAGATACGTTTCATATAATTCAAATCATTTACTTATTTTAGTTCATAGAGAAATCTAAAAGACATATGCTAGCCAGCATCTAAAAGTTTTTAGACTTTGTAAAAAATATTCTCTAAATTTTTTAAATTACAAAAACACCCCTACAAATTCAAAATTTTATTAAACCATCTTAAAATTTATAAATTTTACTTATCTCAATTCAGTGAGAAATCTAAAAAATATATGCTAACCAGAAAATAAAAGGTTTTTTTTTACTTTGGAAAAAATATCTTATAAATTTTAAAAATTACCAAAATACCCCAAAAATTTTAAATTTTATAAAAAACACCTTGAAAATGTCAAACTTATAAACATATTAAAAACCTACAAATAGCACAAACAACCCCAAAAATTTATAGAATTTACAATACACACTCTGAACTTTTTACAAATTACAAAATAAAACCCTTAAAATTATAAAATTTATAAAATCCTGATAATTTCTAACCTAATGATACATTAAAAATATAGGAATTATAAATATTTTCTACATAATTTATAATTTATAAAAACAATCTTAAAGTTTTTTTAATTACAAACAAATATTTAAAGTTCAAAATTTACAAAAAACACATTGAAAATTTCAAATTTATTAGTAAATTAAAAGCATAAGAAGTATTAATAGTCTATAAAGAATTTATAATCTATAGAAAATGGCTATAAGTTAAAAAAATTACAAAAGTCCTTAAAATTCATAATTTTAAAAAAAAACTCCATAGAATTTCTAACCTATAGACACTAAAATAAATATGCAAAATACTAACAACCCCTAAAAAATTAAAATTTTGCAAAAATTATCATACACATTTTAAAAGTATAGAATTAGGAAAAACTTGTCATGGTAAATATTACTCATAACATTTTTTGAAAATAACATAACTAATTAAAAATCTATTAAACTTGAAATTTATAAAAAATACCCTTAAAGTTTAGTACATTGCAAATTACCCCTACAAAGTTGGAAAATTTTTAATAATTTTTTTATAATTCCTTGATTTCAATGTAATGTTTAATAGTTTTATGTATTAATAAATTATAAATTTTAGAGTGATTTTTTAAACTTTTTAAAACTTTTGAGGTTGTTTATTTTGTAGTTTGCTAAATTTTCATTGTGTTTTTAGTGTAATACACATATACATCAAATAATGATGATATTAAAGAATAAGTCGTTCTTAAGATTATTAGACCATAGTTAAATATGCACGTCACTATTCTTAGACAGTATAGTTTATATATGCAAAAATTTTCAGACAATCTATGTAGTGGTTAAAAAGATTTTGACTTTAATGTACTATTTTTTACAAATTATATTTAATGTGAACCCACCATATAATTTTGTCTGTGGTCATTATAATTTTAATATGTTTGATTGATTGACTATATACGTATATAGACTATAGATTACTTTACTTTCTCACATGAACTAACATTTGGTGCTTAATAATTTAAATTATTACTTTTAAATTCAATATAAAGAGGAGCTCTAATAACATTTATTTATTTACTTACAGCATAATACAATCTTAATTCCTATTTTTTGCTGGAGATTTATTCCATAGTTACGTGTATCAAATTAGTAACTAAAATAATAATTATTATGTTTAAATTAGGATGATTGTAGTTGGTCACTCACTATAAAATTTTTATGAAGATATATACCTTACTTTCTATAGCTATTTGTACTGTCCATGTATATTTTATAAATTAGTTATTAATTTGACATATTAAATTATATTTCTTTGTAGAAATTTCTTCTTTGACTTTTAAATTGTGTAATCACTATATCACCATTCTAACATTGAAAGGACTTCACTCTAAATGGCTTCTAGCCAATGTTTGAGTTGCACTGAAGTATATACTATTGTTACTATGTGTATATATTTTTTAAGAAAATCATGTCAACACTTTTTAAATAGAAGAGAATATTCTAACCTCTGATATTATAAAAATTAAATATGGCCAATTGAATGATTAGTAAGAGAGAACTTACATCAAAAAAGTGTGAATAATAAGATAAAGAGGAAAGGTAATGGTATTGTCAATTGTACTACAAATAGTAAACTACAATGTAAAATTAACCTATTTTGTGGAGCCCAACTACTGGTTATAAGCATCGTGATTTTCATATATGTACTTTATAATTTATTTAAAAAGGTCATATAACCTTATATAATAAAATTTATTTAATATTGAATAGTAATATTATTATAATAATATCATTATTTGAAAAGATTCTTCACGAATCAAGATGCTCTTTACGATATATAAGCTATGCACTCTAAATTTTTGTGTCTTTTATAGAGCAAAAAAGTTTGAATACGAGTCTCTAACATGTTGCCTCACAACAACAAAATCCACTTAGGAGATATGGATATTCTAAATGAGTTATGTATCATATATACAATACAATTATCCTAGACAAGTAAGTTATAGTAATATTTTTTATTCACATCGTTTGGGGTAAGATATAATAGGGACCTTGCATCAAAGAAAAAAGAAATTGTTATATTTAGAGCGCAAGCGAAATATATCATAATCTTCCTGTTCTAATTTCGTAAGAAAATAATTCTTCATACCTTCAATTTTACTTCTATGATATAGAGAATGAGCTATAAAATTGAATGAGAATATTAGATAATATAAATATGAGCGAAACATCAACTAAAAGTTAATATGAATAAGTCAAACCACAACTAAAAGTTTAATGGACATATTGCAAGTAAATTTATATACAAAATTCTTTTGCGAATTGAATGACCACCCATATTTTGAAGACTTCAAGATACTAATAAATAGAGATATCGTACTGAATTAATGTGTTTATAACTCACAAATAGTAGATCACTTAGCCACAGTCTAGGTTGAAGGAAAAATATTTTACTTAAGAGAGTTTATTGAGTTGATGATCAATCTCACAAAAAACTTTATTTTCTTTTTTATTTTTACTCTATTTTTATCAATTTAAATAATCATGATATTCAACTACGTGCATTGCACGTGCATCTCAACTAGTTTTTAAAAAAATGGTAAGAGACAATAAAGAAAACAACAGACCACACTTGTAGATATGCAGGCCAGAGAGAGCTAAAAAACTATAGTTTGCCAAGTCTTGGCCTGTTTCATAATAATAAAGAACTAAAGCCTCAGTAGCAGTGAGATAAGATGGACGTCCTAGTCAGTTCTTAAGAAATAGACACAAGATGAGACGATGAGGACTGCAAGCTAATAATAAAAAGGCAACGACCGGAAATACCACACGTAGACTACGGTGATGCGGACATACAAATCGGACAAATGGAGCGCATCTCCCCTCCGCACCTCATGCATCTCAACAATTCAGACCGATATGATTGACTCCCCTTTAATTAAAAAAAACAAATTTGAAAAAAAAATGGATATTTATTTATCAACAATAAAACTCCTAATAAGCATAAATAGGGCACTGATATTGTATCACAAACTGCCTCGTATCGTCTAAAGGTTGCGTCCACACGCTCGACACCATGATCAACAGCCTCCTCCTCATCTCCTCGAAGAGTATGGTGGGGTCCAGTCAGGATGGAGAAGATGATGGAGGCACAGGGAGTACGAGGGCCTCGGTATAAGTTCCCCCACGGGAACGCGAAGGAAGCCGAAGCGATGGTGAAAGAAGCAAGGAGCAGGCCGATGGAGCTGTCACACGACGTATCACCGAGGGTCCTGCCTCACTTGCACGCCTGGGGCAAAGAACACGGTAACATGACTCATTCAAAAACATATTATAAGAGTTTAAATTAAGTTGTTTGCAGAAGCTAAAAGTTTTTTTTTTTTTTTGTCGTAGGACGGAATTTCCTCAAATGGCACGGTCCGTCGGCGCAGTTGGTGATATCCGAGCCAGAGTTGGTAAAAGAGGTGTTGAGTAACAGAGGGGGAGCGTACGTAAAACTGCCCGCAACCGGATTTATACGAAAGCTACTCGGAGACGGGCTGGTGACGACAGAGGGAAAGAAGTGGACCAGGCAGCGGAAATTGGCTAACCATGCTTTTCGTGCTGAGAATCTAAAGGTAGAGCTTTTCAGGTCAAGATTTTAGCATAATACTGCGTTTCCAATTAATGCAATAATAAGAAGAAAATAGCGCGCTTCTCAGGTCATGATTCCAGCAATAGTGACCAGCGTGGATGACATGCTGAAAAAATGGGTAGAGTATGAAAACAAGGAGGTGGATTTATTCCAAGAGTTCCATGTTTTGTCGTCGGATATCATTTCGAGGACAGCCTTTGGTAGCAGTTTTATCCAAGGAAAGGATATCTTCACAAAATTAGGGGACCTAGCCAGAATTATCTCTCGAAATTCTGAGGCTGTACGCTTCCCATTTATGAGGTGATCTCGCATTTTCTATCCGTGTTATTATATAATTAATGAAGAATAAATTTTTTTACTCATCTTGAAGAAACTTATTATTCAGGAGTAGGGACGACAAACAGGCAGAAGAAGTCGAGAAGGAAATTCGTGATATCATCGTAAAACTAGTTATGAAGAGGAGGGAGAGTAATCGAATTGGAGACCCCGATGGTTACGGAAATGATTTACTTGGCTTGCTTGTCAAAGCAAATCAGGAGTACGAAAAGGATGAAAGAATCACTCTGGATGACATTATTGACGAGTGCAAGACGTTCTACTTTGCGGGGCACGAAACCGCAGCTGGCCTACTAACATGGACTGCTCTCCTTCTAGCCATCAACACTGATTGGCAAGAAAAAGCCAGAAAGGAGGCAACCGAATTGTTTGAAGGAAGGTCTCCAACTTCTGATGACAGCAACATTGCCAGATTAAAGACAGTAAGTAAACATAATTACTTAAAGAGAAGTTTGAGTATCCGCACCCATGTCCATACCTGAACTCATACCCGTGCAACATACTCTGACACTTGACACTTATATGATTCCCATGGATCAAAAGTCAAATGCCTTAGGACTTCGATTTATATGCGTCAAATACTGACAAGTCAATTTCATTTTCTTTGACCAACTGTTCATTACCACTATACAATGACAACAAAACTTTTATCACAATTTTTTTGGGGTGGCTATTCTATTTTTACATTCATTTCATTACCGGTATCCTTCAATATAAATTTTATACTTCAAAGTGGCCACATATAAGTTAGTTCTTATCACAATATACATGTAAACTTCTAAATTCACAAGGTGATGCTCACTTATATTATTGACTACAGATGATCATGATCATCAATGAATCCTTAAGGTTGTATCCACCAGTAGTCTGGCTCACTAGAAAGGTGGCAAAGGAGGTGAGGCTAGGAAAACTGGTTCTGCCAGCAGGCTTAGAGCTGGTTTTCTCACCATTAATTATTCAGCATGATCCTCAACTATGGGGAGAAGATGCTCACCTCTTCAACCCAGAGAGGTTTGCTGATGATTATTCAGCATGATCCTCAACTATGGGGAGAAGATGCTCACCTCTTCAACCCAGAGAGGTTTGCTGATGGAGTGGCAGGAGCAACCAACAATACAATGTGCTTCCTTCCGTTTGGCACGGGCCCTCGGTTCTGCGTGGGCCAAGGCCTCGCAATGATGGAGACCAAAATTGCATTATCAATGATATTGCAGAATTATACCTTCACTCTTTCACCTGGCTATGTCCATGCCCCCATCAGACAGATCACCACCCGTCCCCAATATGGGCTTCAAGTCATTCTCCAAAAGCTTTAGGTTTCCAATCGCGTTATTTCTGTAAGAATGAATTGCATTGTATCCAGTCATGGAGCCTCAATATCTATGAACCACACATGATTACCTTAGAAATGTATTTTAACAGCCATATTTTTGTTTTAATTGAACATACTATGATGCAAAATGTGAAAGTATATTCGTATGTGATATTGATAAATCAAGTAAAACTTAACTTGTATGTGAGAAGATATGAGGAATCAAATGTTGAGCGCAAAACCGGGGGAACACACAACCACAAACGAGATTAGAGAACAAACAGCAATCAAAACAAGTACCACAAATGCAAGACAACAAATTTACGTGGTTCGGCAAGCTTACCTACGTCCACGGGAGCAGTAGAAATAATTTCTTATTTAATTATAAGAAATTACAAATTTGCAAAGAGAAGATCTCAAACTTGAGATCTATCAAAACAACAAGAGTGTTTTAAACTTAAAATATTGCTCAATATCTCCTCAAATCTCTCTTCCTTAATTACTCTCCCTTTAATTTCAGCCCCCTCTTTAATTCCCCCAAATCAGAGCTCAAAATCACAGAGGGAAATAAAACGCCGTCGCTGGAAGAAACCCAAAGTACTACTCCATTTTCTCCGCTCTCCTGCGCTCGTGATTAGGGTTTCCCTTTTATAGGGAAACCCTAGGGCAATCGTGCGCCCTAGCTGGCTTCCACCACGAAGCCATCAGGAAGGCGAGCTCGATCTCCTTCATCAGGCGAGGTCCACGCTCCCAACAGGCGACCTCGTGGCGACATGCGAGCTCCCTTGCCTGAGCTCCCTAGCCTCGCCTCCTCGCCTCTCCACGATACGCAGGCGAGCTCCTTCATCTGAGCTCTTCAGGCGAGATCCTTCTGCGCTTCAATCTTCAGGCGAGGTCATCGAATCGAGGTCAGTCCTCTTCAATTCTCCACCTCGTCCATCATTTGATAAACCTCAAATTATGAACGAACACCAGAAGAACACCACGAACACCAACAGGACAAAACCAGGTCAAACCAACTATACCATTATACCATGGCTGCCTACGTACCCTCTGACCAGGATCAAGCAAATCGTAGTTCTGCCAAATGGCCTCTAAAGGCCCTCAACAACGAAGAACGTTCAACAACTCCAAACAATAACCAAATTTTACCCCAATGATAACTTTGGTCAATATATCTGCCAGAATGTCCTTTGTGTGGATTTTCTCTAATTTAATGTCTCCATCATCCAAGACATCTCATACAAAATAGAATCTGACAACAATATGCTTTGTTCGGGCATGATACATATGGTTCTTTGCCAAATAGATAGCTAACATGCTATCACAATTTACCTTGATGGTATCCTGAGCAATCCCCAAGTCATCTAATAACCCCTGCAACCACAAAACTTCCTTCACAGCTTCAGTCAATGCCATATACTCTGCCTCTGTAGTAGAGAGAGCCATTATAGACTGAAGTGTACATCTCCAACACACCGGTGCTCCTGCTAGTGTAAACACATATCTAGTAGTAGATTGGCGCTGGTCAAGATCCCCCACATAATCAGAATCAACATAACTAATACAATCCTGCCCATTCTTCTCATTCTTCTCAAACACCAAACCAACATCCATGATACCTTTGATATACCATAGAATCCACTTTACGGCCTCCCAATGACCTTTGCCAGGGTCGTGCATGTACCTAGACATCATGCTCATAGCATGTGACAAATCTGGCATTGTACACACCATTGCATACATCAAGCTGCCCACAGTATTAGGATATGGAACTTTGGATATGTATTCACGGTTCTCAACTGAAACAGATGACATATTAGATGATAGCTTAAAGTAGGAAGCTAATAGAGTACTCACCGTCTTGGCATTACCATCAAAACTGAATTTCTTCAACATCTTTTGTAAGTAGCTCCTCTGTGTCAACTTCAACCTCCCATTCACCATGTCTCTCTCAATTTCCATACCTAATTTCTTCTTTGTTTCTCCAAGGTCCTTCATCTCAAATTCAGATGACAATTTCTTTTTCAACTTCCTAATAGCTGAAGAATTCCTAGAAGCAATGATCATATTGTCAATATATAACAACAAATAAATATACTCACTATTCTGTAGCTTATGCATGTACACACATGGGTCATATGGGCTCCTTGTGTACCCTTGGCCAATCATAAAACTGTCAAATATCTTGTACCATTATCGCGGTGATTGCTTCAATCTATAAAGAGATTTCTTCAGTTTGTACACCAAATCATCCTTTCCTACAGCTCTAAAACCCATCGGTTGTGACATATAGATCTCCTCTTCTAAATCTCTATGTAGAAAGGCTGTTTTTACATCCATCTGGACCAAATCCAAATCCAGTTGTGCCACGAATGTCAATAGTATTCTTTGTTTACCCTATAGTTTTGATGATGATTTGTCAAACAATTTATCGCTAATATATTCTCTAGTTTTGTTTTTATGTTTCTCTTTACAGGTATTTCAACACACGACAATCAAGTGTTAAAGATTCAAGTTCATATGTGTGGAGTTACCTAGGTATAAGAGTAGTTTACTTACATATATTTTATGTTTATATTTAAGCTCAATATATGTATAATTAACACGATTTTTAACGTTTTCTATCATATAAATGATTTTTCATCAAACATTGTTACAATATCTTTTATTTCATGTTTACAGCTATTTCATACTTTATTATATACATATAATATATGCATTATATATATATATATGTTTATAAGTCATATCAAAATTTTCATATTCGTAAAATACAGGTTTTACGAACACTTTTCAAAAACAGTGTGTTTTTGCAAACGAAAATTAATTTTCCAAAAATTCCTTTTCTAACATGTTCATTTTATCATTTAGAAAATTTTCCCAAAGTTTTATTATTTTTGGAATTGATTTGCTATTTTTTAAAGTATTTTTAAAATCAGCCCAAAAACCTGTCATATGCCTTGTATCAGTCTGCGGTCGACCGCCATGGTCGACTATCAGCAGTAAATTTTCACGGTCGACCGCCGTGGTCGACCGCCAGCCTTAAAACCCTATTCTCAGTCTTTTTTGTGCCTCACGGTCGACCGCGAGATTTCCACGGTCGACCGCCGACAACGGCTGTCTGAGGGTATTTTGGTCTTTTCTAGTTGGTTTTGGCTGATGCTTTGAGTGGGTATATATACCCCATTACTGCTCTCTTTCATAGGACCAAGTTTTGTTTTAACAAAAATCTTAAGTGTGTTTAAAGAGCTGTTTAAGCTGATTTTGATCATCTGTTTTAAAAGAAGTCTGCTACAACAAAAAGAGGCTTTTTCATTTCAACTGAGGATCCTATCCTCATCATCCTCTACTGTTCTTCTTTTTTATTGAAAAGTTTTCTAAACTCTTCCTTATATAGCTTACTATTTCATTTTCATTTATTTAGCTATATTTATTGAGTTGTATTATTTTTATTCACTGTTATCACACACACATATTGAGCTTAATATCTTCATACTATATAGTGTGGGTTGTGGGGTGTGATTTAGTGAGTGTGAGCTTTATTTGTGTTCTCATTTGTTATTGAGAACAAATCACTGTATTTACCTTTTATTGTGAGAATCATTTGTAATACACTTATACACCGAGAGAAGTGTGAGGCGTGAGACGGGGTCAAATCCAATAGGAGTGGCGTCGGTTGACGAACCTAGGAAGTGGTTGCATCCGAGCACTTGAGGAGGAGGACACGGGCTAGGTTCCTACACTTAGTGTGTAAAGTGTGATTACATAGTATTGGTTGTGTGAGAGTTTTTGGTAAGCTTGTAAACCGAGTGTGTAGAAGTTCTGGCTTCCAAACCGGATTGTGATAGTGGAGATCTCCTCAAGGTGAGGAGCGGGAACGTAGGTCGTGGTGACCGAACCTCGTAAACATATCGTGTGTTTGTGTTTTGCTTAGTGTATATTTCATTTGTGCTTATTCATATCTTTCTTGCTCATATCTTTCTTGCTCATATCTATCTCATATCATTCTTGCAAGAACAAATTAATCAATATAATTTTAATTAGAATTTATTTGGGATTAGATTAGCATAAGTTCCTAATCACCACCCCTCTAGGGTCTAACAATTGGTATCAGAGCTTTGTGCTCTTTGATTTAAGGACTAATCGCCTTGATTTAAAGATCCAAGTTATCGTTTTCGTGCTAATCTAGTGTTGATTGCTTTTTGCTTCTTGCATATAATCATTATGGATATGTATGATGCATCTAGTCTAGGTTATGCTATTAATGTTGCTCCTCGTTTGGATATTTTTCCCTATGCTCAATGGCGTGTTAGATTCAAACTTTTTGTTCAATCTAAACAATTCGATTTATGGGAGATTATTAAGGATGCCTATGTTATTCCTATTTTGGAAAAATCCAAATGGAGTGAAAATGATAAAAGATTATTTAACATGAACAAGCTCTTGTTAGAATATTTGCTTAATGCTTTTCACTCATCGTTTTCTAACAAATTTGCTTATTTTGATAGTGCTTACGCCTTATGAAAATTTATTAAAGCACATGAAGGAGACTCGGAGGCTATTCAAAAAGCGTTGGAAGATCGCGCTTTAAGCTCTAAGGAAGCCTCATCTCCATGTACAATACCACTAGGTGATAACCCTAGTGAGGTATGCAATCTTGATAACGATGATATTATTACTTTTGATGAACTTGCTCTTGAGTTTGAAAAATTACACAATTGCTATATTGATGTAAAGTGTAAGTATGTTAATATAAAATCCATTCATGAAACACTAGCTACTAAGTTTAATTTTATTGCAAATGAAAATAAAATTCTTAAAGAATGCAATGAAAATTTGAAAATTGAAAATGCTAGTTTGCTTCATGAAAAACGTAATGCTATGTTAGAAGTAGATAAGTTGAAATCTATGATGAAAAATCTTGTTTATCCTACTTCTAGTAGCAATGCTTGTATGCACAATGATGAGTTGAATCAAATGAGAAAAAGAATATCTACCTTAGATTCAACACTAAATACTTGTATTGCTAATAATAAAAAGCTTATGGACTTATGTGCAAAGTTCAATGTTAATTCTTCTAAGAAACCTATTCACTATGCACATATGTATGACAAAATTCACAAATGTTCTATTTGCGGTCTTAA